ATAGATAGATAGATAGATAGATAGATAGATAGATAGATAGATAGATATTGCGTTTATTTTCTTAAATGTGATGTTTGCGTTACATGATCAAACCTAGCCGGTGTTATAAGTTACTCTGTATAAAACTAATACGCTGTTTTATTTGAGTAAAAAGCCTTGTATGTCTCACAGTAAAGAAAGACATCTTGAAAGATGCAGGCAATCTGTTAACGTTTTCTGTGTTATTTTTGTGTTAAAACATTTTTTAAATGATTTTTTCTGTCCTATATTGACATCTCGGTTATCACGCCAGAACTTCCTGGTGTGTGTCCCAAATGTAAGATCCAGTTCTTTGGCAGCTAACAGCCCAATTTTGGAATTGCAGACATATATATATATAAAAATGTTTTAACACAAAAAAAAATTATATATATATATATATATATATATATACATATAGAGACACTTAAGGTCATTTATTGCAGTCACTTTTTAAGTAGGTTTATGAGAGAATGAAAGCGGAGATTAATTTAATATATTGCTATCAAGCAGTTATTTTTTACTTTGGTTCTGCTTTTAATTGCATTTTTTCTGAAAGCATGGATTCAATTGAATGTTTTCATGTTTTCCAGTTTCTGTCAAACGTTGAGCGCAGTAAACACGGGGACAGCTTACTGCTGCGGCTGCTTTGCTCACTAAACCCGAGGATGAGTACTAAGTCTCTAAACTGTTCGGCTTCTATTGCGCGGCCATCTGCCTGCGGTGTCGGAGTAAATTCATGCTTGTGTCCGTTAGGTTTTGATAGGGCATCTTCCAAATAGACCAGAGAATAATGGTGGAGGATGGGTTGTAGACTAAAATCTCTCCAGAAAGACGAAACGTCCAAGCTTGAAATCGTCAGCCTGCACTTGTGGTATAATATTTTGTATTTACTCGTTTAATGATCGATTTTTTTTAAGTATTTGTATTTACTTGCCTGTTTCAACCAGCCAAAAGATTGTAGCCCTACTGGATACTAGATTTTCACTGGAATTTAGCGATTCAAAATATATGAAGTGTTGTGGATGGGAAAACGCAATTTTAACAAGCAGAGATGAGTCATTGTTAACAGCACCGGATATCATTTTAATTTATTTATTACAGATGTATTACTAAAACACACAATACTACGGTTTGGTGCATGAGTCGTTTAGTAATTTGACTGGTCTTTTTAGACACTGACTTTCCATATAAACTGTAATATCTATAATCATTAATATGTAAGTCTTTGACGTTTTGACAGATTTTAGTTTACTTCCAACAAACACCGTTCATTTAGGTTACAAAATGAGAGTTTTAACGGTACCACATTTGCTTTTTATTCACTAAAAACGACAATTTGAACCTTATATGTTTCCTTCGTGGTGATGTTAAATGCAAATATATAAGAAACGCTTTCTTTTTCTTTTTTTATTCCATAGCCAACGCTTATTTTACATTTGCAGTCTTTTTGTCCCTCTTAGGACCATTATGCATACATGTTTGACAGAGTTTGTTACAAGAAATAAAGATTTATTTTGTTTTTTAATGTTTTTTTGTTGTTATTGATTTATTTGGGTGTCATTACACATTTTAAAATAATAAAGAACAAAGATGAAACTTTCCAATTTAATGTTACCATTAAAAAAAGATGCAACATAAGCATACTTTGACATTTAAACCTTTGACGTCAACAATGATCGACAATTTCAGGATATATTAATAAGTTCTATAAAAAATATTGAAGCCAAAATTAGTCTTCAATTATCAAAAAGATGGGGTTTGGTTTTCACTTCTTGTGTTTAATTGTAACAGGATTTAATTTGCTTTGGTTTAATTTCTTTGAGTTTTCCAGCTCCCACAACCCTGTTGGGAATAAGAAGAAAAGATAATGGATGGATGAATGAATGGACGTTTTCTAGCATAACACCATATTTACTAATGTTCTTTTAAATTTTGCCATATTGAAACGCATATTACAAATGACTGCTACAAACAATGACTAGGAGAAATAATTGGTAGAAGCAATTATTTATATCATTCAATTGATTTAATTCAATTGAATTTTTCCTCTATCACCCATCTAGTGATGAGCAACCTCAATGTTATCAACCACAGCTCTACAAAATATCAATTTCTCTGCGGATAATAAAGACCAAAGGTTTGGAGGTGATCCAAATAGTACCAACCATGATCCCCCCCCCCCCCCCCCCCCATCTATTGTTTTCATCTAAGACACAGACATTTTTCAAAACGAAAATTATCATGCATCATGTCCGTGTTGTACAAAGCTTCATCAGGACAAATGTAGTAGGCCTGATGAGGGCCGGCAAGTACTGGGGAGGAGTAAACACTAAATAATGATTTCAGTCTAAATAGTTTTCAATTGAAAAATGTATTCCAAATAGAATAATCACAACTAATTAATTATCATAACCTTTAAGCCAATGATTTGCCAACTTCTGTATGTAAATGATAGGGCCCCCATTTTCTTTTATGCTCTTATAAGGACCTTTAAAACACAAAACAAGCACATTTGTTGCATGGGCCAAAGTACATTTCTGATACTAAGGTTAGGCAATCTAGGCTTGATGCATTTTATCGTGGATGAAGTAGCCCATACTAGAATCATGTCGATTTGGTTTGCATCACAGACAAATTGATAGTTAATCTGTTGTAGGAAGATTTGTTAAAAACATTTATGAGCAATGTTAGACTTAAAGGGAATTTATGATATTCTTTAGTTTAAACCATCAGATTTTAATCAACTTTCAATAACCTCCTAAAAAATGCTCTGTTTTAGTATGTCCCCTGCATTTTTTCATGATTTCAGAATTCTTTTCATTTTCAGGCACATTCAAAGGGTTCTAAGTGAGCACTTCTAAAATCCAGGAAGGTTTCACATTGTAATCGAGGGAAATACTTTGTTTAAGATGAAATATTTTCATGTTTAGGGCCCATAGACTTTAATAAATACATGTGATCATTGGAGGGAATATTTCAGTTCACCCAAACTAAATGTAACTTTATCCATTTTGGAAGGACAATATACTCCAAACACCAGAGTAGGTGATTAAGGATTGACAATATATGGGTATCCAACTGGACTACAAATACTACAATGATACTATCTAAAGGAAAATGGCATAGCAGGTTTTCCTTGTAAGATAAGAGTATGGTTTTGGTGTTTGCAGCAAAATGCTCTCCATCTTTCATAAATCTGTAGTGAAAAGCACGATTTGCTTTTGTTGCATAAACTTTATTGTAGTCTTTAGAGAAACTCATCAAACAGTTGAAGTTGTCTTTCTCTGCTAGAGACTGCACTGGAAACCCTAGAGCTGACAGTGCAAAACAAAATTTGGGGATAGAACACCCGTATACCTTCTTCAGTTCGCTGGTTGCTTGGCGGCAATAGCATCAACATCTCAGGTCATCATTCAATGACCTATTTCTCTAATGGGGCCATTAAATAGCTCGATTTTTTTCTTTTTTTAGACACTGATGAGGGTCAGGCAATTAGTTCAAATGATCTCTTGGAACTTTAGAAGTACTTCAAGCATTGTATTTGATCTTGAGTTATAACATTGAATGTTTGTATATCGACATTATACAAGTTGTTTGCATGATATAACACTGAAAAACTAGTCAGTTACAAACTATTACGGTAATATGGAGGAAAGGGGCA